TTAAAACGTCGACGCGTTAAAACGTCGACGCGTTAAAACGTCGACGCATTAAAACGTCGACGCATTAAAACGTCGACGCATTAAAACGTCGACGCGTTAAAACGTCGACGCGTTAAAACGTTGACGCATTAAAACGTTGACGCGTTAAAAACGTCGACGCGTTAAAAACGTCGACGCGTGCCCGATGTCGTCCTTGACCGCTTGTTTTTCTTTCCGTCAGTGGCACGCTCTGTCCCGCTCAGAACAGTCCAAATATTTTGACCTGGCCCAGAAGGAGAGGCGGCTCCACATGCAGCTGTACCCCGGCTGGTCCGCCAGGGACAACTACGTAGGTTCAGCGAACGCATCGTCTCTGCCTCAGTGTGGCGCCACTTTCAGCAGCTTTCTTCACTTTCAGGGGAAGAAGAGGAGGAGAAGCAGCAGCTCGCAGGAACTTCTCCCAGGTCGGCTCTGAGCCACATGAAAAACGGTTCGTTAAATGCTTTTGATTCTCCGTGATCCTCTTCAGCTCGTCTTAAACATGCCACAGATTTTACTTCATGTTCATGAAACTAAAATGATGTTTTGGTTCCGTCAGCAGGACTCTGACGAAGCTTCTGAGGAACGTCAGCCCGAGCCTTCGGTCCTCTAAACGTTGGTCAGAAGGTTCTGACCCAGCGGTTTCACCTCGTGGACACTTTGTATTTGAAACCTTAAGGAGTTGTGACCCGCTTTAGATTCAGAGAATATAAAAACAACACCGATGCCTTTTTCAGTTCAGACTCATTTTGGTCGTCGTGGTTCTGAAGACGGCCCGACTCTTGTTGCTCCTGTGGACGTTAGCGTCTGCTGACACTCCACGGCTTCCAGAGGAGACCATCCTTACACAAGAACCTCTTCAGCCCGAGCAGCTGGATCAGAACCGTGCCGCTGAGCACGTCCTCTGCTGGTTCTGACTAAACACATCAGAATTAAAGAGCGTTGTGAAGTCGTTGGTTTATACGAGCAGAACTTGTGCCAGTCTGAATCGCTCAGGCCAAATCTGTTTTCACGTCAATTAAATTAAATCACTGGTTTGAAAATGTATTTCACTCAACAGAAGCTGAATTCAGTTTGAAGTCACTGAATTCAGTGATTTCAAACTGAATT